CCGCGCTCCAATCCCCGAACCAATACATTGAAGAAATCTTGGACAAATCTTGGCTACTTTTCGCCACTGCAACAAGGCTCCGGAGGGGTAGGGGAGGTATAGCCTTAATCATAGCCTTAGCCTTAGCCTTAATCATAGCCTTAGCCTTAACCTTAGCCTTAGCCTTAATCATATAGCCTTATCCTTAATCAACAGTCACGCCTCATCCCACGAGTGGGGTCGGCGGATACGTATGCATTCACACACACATACATATTTACATACGTGCATACATACATAGATTACACACATACATACATACATACATACATACAGACAGACAGACAGACAGACAGACAGACGTATATACATACACACATACATACATACATACATACATACATACATACATACATACATACATTTGAGGACTCAAGCCGGTCCCATACAAAACCGGGCGCAGGCAGGTTCAGGGATTGGAGCCTACCCTCGAGAGCCTCGAAGGCACTGGACTCCCTTTGCCCGTGATAGTGGAGAAGGAGAACTACTTGACCGGAAACTCAACCTCAGGGACTCCTTGACCGTGACTGGTCCTACTTCACTGCCTCTGAAGTTAGCCTGAACGCAGAGCGCGAAGTGATCAGTGCCTTTCACCTGGCCACCGAGAAGGACCTTGTGATTCCCCGCATCAGGCACGATGACACCTTCCAAGACTTCATCCTGGTGCAGGAGCTACACGGTATGTGCACAGGGCACCTGCAAAAACCGACAAGCTCCAACCGGGCACTAGATGCAGCAGATGTGGCACATGGTGGAAGGCATCCACGAAGGCCACTGGCAAGGGCAAAGGACAGGGTCATGGACAAAGACACCTACCAATCAATCCAGGCCAAACCTGGCCCAAGAAGACCTACCAAGACGCCCTCATGGATACTCCGCCAGGTTTGAACAAACTCCAACCACCCAAGAAGGCCAAGGACCAACAGACAGCGGCTGAGCTCCTCGCCTCCACGTGGGATGTCATTCCGGAAGGGGTCCAAAGCAAGCTGCAAGCCTTGGGATTTGGACCATCGCAACCGGAAGATCCGGAGCTAACAGATCTGCTTAAAACTCACATGTCCGCTCTGCCACAGGCAGTTCAAGATGTCGTCAACCGCTTGACACAGCCCATCCGGACACGGAGAAGGAGATTGCGCAAATGCTCAAAAACCCAGGTGACGGATCTCAAGACCATCTCAATCCGCAAAACTCAGCTGCAAACCAAGCTCGATCAGGACGCCGCAATACGCCGCAATGCTCCAGGACACGCAGGAGCTCCAGGCCAAATTGACAGAAGGTCAACAAAAATTGAAAGACCTCTCCGAGCCGGAAGAGCTGTGCCAAGCAGAGCCAACAGACTTGCCAATCCCAATGGCAGTGGAAACTTTTGTTTCGAGTTTGGGAATCTCACGGACAGAAGAGCAGCGAACCCAGCTCCATGGCTTGCTGAAGAGGCCCAACCCAGAAGGGGAAGACCCTAGCAAGTGCAGGAAAACGGAAAGCGCAGCAGCGCCGCCTGCGGGGGGTTAGTGTGGGTAACGCAACCACGAATCACACAGGGGACCTTCAAGGGATCTGGGCGCCGGTGCCCCTTGATGATTTTGATGCGGCGCCTTTTGCCCGTGTCACGGCGCCGGTTCACACACCGGTTTGCCGCGCTGCACCAGGCTCAGCAGACCAGGGATATACGCAAATGCAGGGGTCCAAATCACACCTTCACTTGCCAGAACACATTTTTCAAGATCAAACGAGGGACACCTCAAGCAAAGCAGCAGGGGAAGACACTTCTTTGTACGATGAGGACAAGACCAACTTTTCCCAACGCAGTGGACCTTTACACCTGGAACCACTGTTGGAGCTCAACCATCAGCCGTAGGTGCCACTGCCATTGGGGTGCGTGGGCCTGAAGTCATACCCGGAGCGCGCGCGCCGCAAAGGTGGAAACCACTCCATCGACGCAACGCAGGATGCAGCGAAACTACGCATCCGCAACGGACTGCGTCCTCCAGAGCCTCTCCATGTCAGTGGGCAATCCAAGTGCCAGGTGCTATGCAAACGCGCCATGGAGAGCAGTGTAGGAATCCCTCGAGCTGGCGGAGGCTGTAGACCTACATCAGCTGCCAGGACTGCGTAGCCTATGGGCACGCCGCGACCTCAATGTTCAGGGTGACGCCAGCCGCTTCGTGAACTCTTTGTAGAATTTGCCACAAACCAGAGCTTTCCACTACAGGTATGCAGAGATCAGAGAAGGCGGGTTTCTTGTTGACCACATCCAACAACCCCTCCTGGTGCCTTACCCAGACGACTGGCCTGACAACGCCACCTTTCAAGAGTTGATCACTGGATGGTCCAACAATGGGATGGCCAATACTTGATGGATGACAAACCCGTGCTGATTTGTCATGACCAAACACTCCAAGATCCTCAACCCCACGGCGCTTTCAAGGTCCCAAGATCATTGGATGGCTTTGCCAGAACCTCCTCTCACTGCTCTTGGATCAAGGTCAACAACCACAAAGCAGCGTTCATTGCCACTGACAGCAAGACCAGCAAAGCATTGGCGCAGCAGCTAGGTCCTCCCCCCACGCAGCCTGTCATGAGGGACCCTGGCATCGACCATCAGGCAGGCAGACGACGACGCATTGCCACTCAGGCTACACCGAGGCGGCGTCCAACCTGTGGCACTATGGGGAGTCGAAGGCCAAGGCCTGGCGCCCTGCTATACAGGCAGATTTTACGTCAAGGCCTGGCTACGAGGTGGAAGTGGACATTCTAGCGTGCCACCAAGGCGCAAAGGGGCCGCGAACATGCAGGCATGGTGTATGTCAAAGCGTGTGAGCAGAATGGCAGTGCTGCAAAAAAGAAAAGAGTACCCAGAGGCAAAATCTCTCTTCTACGCCCTTGGTCGCTGCTAGAGGGATATGCAAGAGCGTCGCCCCTCTATATGTGGCAACGAAATCACAGGCGCCACATTTCCCGCGGATGGCAACTCAACAAGAGCCAGGCGCATGCAGGGCTCATGGAGGTGGACTACTTTTTTTGAAGCGGCCAGCGTGGCCTTTGACACATCGGCGGAACAGAAAAGGCACTCCAGAACAAGTACATACATACAGACAGACAGACAGACATACATGCGTGCTTGCTTCCTTTCTTATTTTTCTTACTGACTGGCTGACTGACTGACGGACTGACTGACTGACCTACTTACTTATTTACTTACTTACTTACCTACTTGCTTGCTTGCTTGCTTACTTCCTTTCTCACTTGCTTACTTACTTACAAAGATATGACAAAGATAGACACATACACGCATATATATACAATACATACATACATACATGCATACATACATACATACATACATGCGTACACATACATACATACATTCATACATACATACATACATGCGTACATACATACATACATACATACATGCGTACACACATACATACATACATACATACATACACACACATACACACATACATACATACATACATACACACACATACATACGCACACACATACATACATACATACATACATACATACATATAGACATACATACATACATACATACATTTTTCTCTTCAATCTTTCGGGATGAGATTTACGGGCGCTAAGTTCTTGAGGTTGTATTTTTGGACCTGGTGCCAAAAACGAGTTGCACATTCATTTAAGTAAATTCAACAGAGAAACTCAACCTTTGTTCAGAAACGTTGTGTGTACTCTTCGCATTTTCAACTCCAATTCCCAAGAAAGGCAATGGAGTTGAATTGCTGAGGAAGCCTACAACTATGACGCCAGCATTTGGTTGAATCGATCGATTTGCAACAGGCCTGGCGAAACGTTTGTCATTTCATGAAGTCGAATTGCCTTTGCAAAACCAAACTAAGTTCGGCAGGAAACTGGAGAATTGGGAAGATGCGGCAACTGATGCAGAAATTGCCCAAGAACTAGATCCCAGCAATGTCAAAGTCCCTCAGCACTACTTGAAAGTAGTTGGCAGTTTTGACAAGTGTTGAATTGTTGACTGACGCACAGCTGAGCACATCAAAATGTGCTAACAGAGCCCACAGAGCCAGGCCTACTACAACAGAGCAATGGCCCTACAGCTTGGAAGCAAACTTGAAGAGGCGGTTGAGAACAGGTTTGAAGGTGTATTTTTGGCTCTTCGTAGCGTTGCAAAAAGGAAAGAAGGACAAATGGTGACGGTGAGAATAAGGAGGTTGATGAAAAAATACGTTTGGAAGAAAACCGAAACTACGATCTCTTCTTCACAGGGACTGAAAGTGTGCAAGAAAGGCTTGGAAGTCCAATCGGATAACAAGGCACGTGGTCCACATTGCACATGGGTGTGAACACACTTTTATTTTCACATGCCTTCATGTAGCGAAAAATTTGCTTTCACAGAGGCTTTACAACAGCTTAAGGCAGATTTGCAAAAAAGCATCAAGGAGGCTTCAGTGAATTCCAGCTTTCAACCAATACCATTGCTTGAATTTTACTCCTTCGAAAGGAGCAAGCTGCATGTCCTGGAGAAATTGCATCAGCTGCGCGCTGGCTTTTGTTTAGTGTGCTTGTTGGTGACAGCTCACAACAGCAAGACAAGTCATTGGTTTTCACGACGAGACAATTGATGGCAAAGGCTACTGTCAATGAGACTTCAGTGCAAGATGCAGTCCAACGGCCTCAGAGCTTCTGCCACGTTTTTTGACAAACCTGCATTCGCTTACAGATGCAGCTGAAAGCTTGCATCTTCAAGCAATTCTGCCAGAACTGGACCTGATGGCGAGTACCTGTGGCAAAAGGAAAAGCCAAGCGAAAGGGAGCGAGAGGCCTTGATTCTGTTGGCAGAACTGCTTCTGCTTTGTTTTCTTAACAAGCAGTGTGTCGTCCCAAGAAGGTGCCTAAAGTTCATGTTTTGTAGGGCCTTTCGCTGTCATTGTTCATTACTTGAATGATCCTTAATTGGACTCTTCATGTCGGGCTACCGCTTCATGCAGGGATACAAGCAGGCCATGCTTGTGAAGACCTTAGCCACTGTCTTCGATTTGGTGCCAGAAGTGCTGTTCTTGGACAAAGACCTTTCAGGACATGTTCCGATCAAAGTACGAAGAGCTGAAGCAGCGTGCTGAAGCGGCAAAATCTAAGCGATCAACCCTGCAGACAGACCACTATGAGGAGAACTGGCATTGGCTTTATTTGGCGTTCTCAAGCTTCAATGAATGCCAACCAGGACAATCAAAAGCAAGGGCTCATTTTGTCTGGAGGTCATAGACCTATGGACAGGTCACCCGACTGATTTAGCAGCCTTTGACTTGCATTGGGCTGATTGCGAACTTTCCACTCGACAAGATTGGGGCAGTCAGATTTCGAGCTGATTATTCTTCACCTCTGCTGCCCACAAGCAATGAGGGTATATAATCAACGGCATGGCAACACCCAACAACAGCTGCAAAACAGGTTTACGTCGACGTGAGCAACCGTATTTTAACGATTTGATAGCATGAGCTATTGGGGTTCTTTCTTCAAGTATAGGAAGCGTTTTCGAGCTTGGATGCTGGTGCCGCCGCACGGTGCCGCTGCTGTTCCAGTATGGCTGTGTGCGAGCTTGCGTGCTGGTGCCGCTGCAGGGTCCCGCTGTTGTGTGCGCTTGGGAGCTTGGGTGCTTGTGCCACTGCAGGGCGCTGCTGCTGAGCTTGGGTGCTGGTGCCACTGCAGGGCGCTGCTGCTGAGCTTGGGTGCTGGTGCCGCTGTAGGGCGCCGCTGCTGTATGCGCTTGGGGTGCCGCTACTGCGCTTGGGTGCTTGGAGCTCGCTGTGTGCGCTTGGGCGTGGGTGTCGGTGGAGGGTGCCATTGCTGCTGTGTGCGCTTGGGAGCTTGTGCCACTGCAGGGCGTGCGCTTGGGAGCTTGGGCAGGGTGCTGCTGCTGTATGCGCTGGGGGTGCGCTTGGGAGCTTGGGCCGCATGTCCGCCGTGGCCATGTGCATTTTGGTGCTGGTGCTGCTGCTGCGGTGTTGCTGTCAGATGTCTATGGCAGTGTGCGCCTTGGAGCGTGGGTGCAGGTGCCGCTGCCGCTGTACGATGTTGCTGTCAGATGTCTATGGCACCGTGCGCTCTGGGAAGCTTGGGTGCTGGTGCTGCTGAGGGTGCTGCTCCTGCTGCTGCTGCTGCCGCTGCCCACCAATATCTTTGTGCTATCTGGGGTCTATGCTGGCGTAATTTCTGCGCAGTGGCTCCGCGGGCTCAAGGTACTCACGGACTAACTGTGTGTTGACAGAGTGCATTCTTTCTTCCTAAGTGACAAAGTCAGTTCAAGACACTTCATAGAAAGACTAATATATATATATATACACTGGGGTGCCAAAAGTTGCGCTTCTTGACTTCTAAAACATCACAAACCCTTTCCCCTTAGAATCCTACGTGCAACATGTCGACACCTCAGTTGCGGTCAGATTTCCACACCTGAAAGCCTTATAAATATCATAAACGGGTGTGGAAATCTGACCGTGCTGTACCTGCCACACAAAATGGACGTGTTAATCCGATCCGCTGTAGATGTTGGAACAGAGTAAGAAGCGTAAACTTTAGGGTTCTTGAAGTATATATATATATATACACGAAAATATGGTGAGTGTATTCCCCCGATCACGAGCTATTGGGTTTCTCATTTCAAGTATAGAAAAAGGTGCTTGTGTGCCCTTTGGAGCCTGCATAGGGACGGTGCTGCAAGTGGCCCCACCCACCCCCCCACCCCCCTCCCCGCCCCTCCCACCCCCCCCACCCACCCACCCACCCACCCGAACTTCTCTGAACAAACATTGTGTGGTTGGCACTCACAACAAACGTCACCACTTGGCTCCCCCAACCAACGTCGTGTGGTTGGCATTCACAATACACAAAAAACCATGCGCTGAAAACTCACAGTCGCAGCCGCCGCTGTGAGCCACATGACAACAGGAAAGAATCCTGATTGGCTGGGGATGGTTCGTATTAGTATTCCAAGCGCACTCAAATATTTTTACCAGTATGTTGCAGTGAACTGTTTGCTTTGTTTGAGGCCAGAGAATGTAGATCTACCATCCAAGTACCAAGAACCTGTCGGGCTTTTATCACCATCAGAGCTGGAGGAGTCACCGGCTCAGAATCAAGCGTCCTGTGATTTCATCGGTCCATTTGAAGGCATGATTTAGATGATGATCTATATAGATTTCCAATGTGGTTTTACCTGTTTCGAGGTATGGCTGCGACAACAGAGATCGGAGATACTTGCTGTCAGTCTATGGCAATATATTTGATGTCTCCGACCGCTGGCACCTCATAATTTGATGACAGTTTTCTCAATTACAGTATCGACAGTTAGACGATTTGCGTCCCGTTTTCACTTTTGTGCACCTTTTGAACCTGAGGAACTTGCCAATATCAACACTAGCTGGAAGAAAAAGATGCCCCATGGGATCAAGCTCTCCCAAACCAAAGGTCGCCAGCCTCGACCACGCAGACTCAAACAGACTCTCCTTGTCACTCCTCACCAGAGAAAGTCGAAAGTCACTAGACTCCAGACTCCAGCAGATTTCCTCACAAATCACCATACTTACTGTATGTGTTTGGAGAGAGGAATTACAGTGGAGCCCCGGAGCACCATATGCACTGAGAGCCAGAAATCAGCAACTAACTCCAAAGATCTACACACATGCCGTCATATACCACCAATCTTCATTGGGAGAACGATCACCGGAATCACGGATGCGCTGAATCACTTCAAATAACCAGCAGTCGCGTATCACCAGAAAAGACCACACACACAACACGCTTCAGAATTTCCTAGACTGGTGCCTACAGTGGTAGGCCGAGGCAAACCTGGAGTCGGTAACTCCAACCATTCTAGTATCAAGTCTCAGAACACAGAACACACGGGGTGGAACAGCTGCAAAATACACTGTGGTCAACAACTACTGAATTTTAACCAAACCATGGCACAAGGCCAGGCAAGCAAGCTTTTGATGCCAGCCGACTGCCAACATTTTTCTAGACACTTGCTAGATTTTGCAGAAGCTTAGTTTGCTGAGCGAGCCGCCAGCTTGCAGGGCAACACCTACTCACCTTGACAAACTGGCATATTGGGTATTGTAGCTCCAAAGTCCGCTTGCGCATCCACTTTGCCCTTGTCACCTTGTCAAAACCTGGGTTTTTGTCATTCGTTCCATCAATGATTGAATTTGCTTTTACATTGCTGTGACATGGCTGCGCGCATGGCCATGCTTGCCGCAAGCAGAAGAGCTTTGCTTGGCTTTGTGGAACAAGGGTTGTCATCCCAAGACGTCCCAGTTGCAATTGACATCCGCCTTGACCTCTGAGGTCCCGACAAGTATGACCCGGATGGTCCCTATGCGAGCTTGACCGGAAAGGACCATCAGATAGGGGGGCCTGTTCTGCTGCATGACAGGTGGCATGAACTTGCAAAGATGTCTGAGGATTTGACCTGGGGCTTGTTTGCCGGCGTCGACACTGTGGAGTACACCAACAAGCTTCGAACCTGATAGCTTTGCTGAGCATGCTGATGCACAAGGTTGAAATCTGAAGTTGAAATAGAAAGTAGTTAAGTAGTAAGGAATGATCGCAATGAACAAGCGACAAGGAAGTCACCAGATTCGTCACTCTCAAGTGTGGTAGCCTCCTTCAACGGTGTGTTCGGGTCGAAGACACGCTTGTATTTTCTGAATTTGTGCCAAACTCGCTGCAGCATGTTGCCAAGGTTTTATGACCTTTTCAAAGCACGAGACATGGGAAAGGACGGCACGGAATGCTTGGCTATTACTTTATCCTGATCCTAAGGGCAAACTGGTTCAATGGCTTTCTGCAGCTTTTCTGGCATTGAGGACAAACTTATTGGTGTTTGCAGTTGGCTTGCTGCGACCTGAGTGGCTCTCTTCACACTGAAAAGATATCTGCAGTTATTTGCTCAGGCTTGGTATGAAACCGAGTATGGAAAGCCTGTTGGCAAGCTGGAGCTACCTCCTCGGAAACTCTTGAATAATGGATTTGGAATTGGACCCCTTTTGTTTCACTCTTTTTGGGCAGGCTGTGAAGATCGGGGTGAGAGGGAAGGGAGGATGATTGATTTGATTTCTAGATTTTCAACCTCAAGACTCAAGACCTTTGTGCTTGACTACAAGCGAGCTCCGGATATTGCTTGACATGTGTATGTTGTCTAAGAGCTGTCAGTGTGATGCACAAAGGCGATCCGGGGTCATGCCCTCACCACCTGGGACCTTTCCAATCACTGGATGAGAGAATCATATTTCTATATATATATATAAAATTCAATTTCGGTTTCAAAGGCCATGGCAACGGGAGGCTGAACTGCCGGTCTGCAGCTTAGAACTTACTATGATACCGCAAATTCCATATACGAGAAAATACAGACAACGCATGACAACAACGCAATGTTTCTTGAACATTCTGGAGCTTCAGTGCATGTCGGGAAAGCAACTAAGCAACTGCTTGCCCATGCAGGCCCCGCCACTGGAAGAAATTGAGGAGGCGTGTGTGGCGGGAACCTTGACGTGCGTGTTAGCACGAAACGTGTTGTTATGTGAAGCTAAGCTTCTCTAAAAGTCTAGGAACCAAATCATTAGCTCCTTGAAGCGTGAGCTATCCTGCGACCATTTACTAGGAGCTTCCTATTGCTTGTAGCGTGTTTACTCCCCTACTCAATCAAGTGGGCGCCTACTTGATTAAGTAATTGAGGAGGCAGGCAGGGCCACTCGGGTTTTAAAAGACAATTTGTGATATGGAAGCCAGAGTACGTTCAATAGAGTGAATTTCTTGTATATACCTACCCATGAAACTTGTGTGCCTGCTTTTTGGATGTTCTTGTTGATGGTCGCAGCTTAACTTACTTCTGATAAGCTGGGTTCTGAGGTCATGTGAGTGAAGCATGTGGCCCAAGCTTCAGGACTGCTTCGCCTGGTTGTTTCTGAGCAGTCGCGATGATCTCAAGGTTCTCCATGTGCACATTGTCACAGGACCTTTCGGTTGCAACTTTTGGGATTGAATGACCTGAAGGAAAGACCGCTGCAGAGCTTCAAGGTGGATGGGAACACCGCAAGGTGATTTCTCGATGTACAAAGATCAAAGACACTTGTGACCGTTGCCACCCTGGTTCCCAAGATGGTGTACCAGGCGCGCTGAGGTTCGGAATCCTACAAAAGAAGCGCCCTTGAATTGACTGCATTTCTTCATGTGAGCATTAGGGGGTGTGGGGTGTCTGGGTTGCATCATATGGCGGACTTGGGAAGGCGGAAGCAGCACAGGGTGGGGGAAAGGCAACAAAATTGTGTATAGGCAGTCCAAAAAGAAGCAGCATTGGCATTCATGTGCGCATTGGCATGCGCTGTCAGAAGGTGTCAGAGATGCAACTGATAAAAGAAAGCATCGTAGGCATTGTTTTGGATGCGAGTTGTATTTTTGGCAGTGGGTGGGAGAAGATGGCAGCAGCGCAGACTGAACAGATAGTTTTGCAGCTGCCTTGCTGCTGCATTGCTATTCCTAGTGCTATTGCTCTTGCTGCTGCTCTTGCTCTTGCTGCTGCTCTTGCTGTTGTTGCCGCTGCTGTCCTGCTAAGCTACATTTTCCATACGTTTTGAGGGGGGATGGGGAGCGAACATGTAGCTTACATTTAGGGAGGTCCCCCCTCTACAATTTTGATCTTACATTTTAAAAGTAAGTTACAGTTTGGTAGGTCCTTAATTGTTTGACTATGCTTGACATGGTTTGGTCTGTACACGGAATTGATAACTCCCCCCAAAGCCGTTTTAGTAAGGGCGTTTGGAAACTTGACCAGACGATGTCATAGCACGGATTGGTCAAACAAGAAACGAGCAAAAAAGAGCGAACATCAATGAGAAACAAGGTTTCTATCTTGCTTCTTGGACTTGTTCGTTCTCAAATGGTCTTAAACCTGTATGCTTGCACCTAATTCTTCTAAAGCTCCTTCCAAGTTTCATATGTTTGCTTCCTATTTCTACGTACATACCACTGTTTTAGAGGCCTCCAAGAATGTAACTAACATTTTGGGAGGTTCCACTTTCTCCATGCCTTTCTGTGTTTTTTTCTTTTTCCCATAAACCTTTATCCCTTTTCTGATCTTTACTTCTTTCTTCCTAGATATCATTGGGTCCTAGGCCATCACCAGGTTCCCGGATCCTGACTGAGCTGCTCGTGAGAATCATTTACTGTACTACTGCATTTTACTGCTGGTTTCTTTCTTCTTTTCTTTTTGTCTTGCTTCCTTCTCAGCTACCGTTTGACTGTAGGGGCCTTGCGTGGACACTATTGACGGTTCTTCCTGTATGCATCTTTGGTTCTCTAGTTTTCAGATGTTTCCTTTGCATTTCTAGGTACATACTACTGTTTTAAAGGCGCTCAAAATGTAACTTACATTTTTGGAGGTTCCACTTTCTTCATGCCTTTCTGTATTTTTGCTTTTCCCTTTTTCATGCCTTTTCAGTCTTGTCGGGCGGGTTGCTTTATTGGCAGTCGATCACTACTGCCTTTGAGCGTGAGACGTCATATCCTCCGTTACTTCCCTACTACCAGAAGCTTCGGCTTGATCCGTCATGCCTTCGACCCTGCTTGATAGCATTGCTCTTCTTGCAAGCCATAGACTACTGTAGCTCCGACTGTGCAAACTTCCCAAAACTGTATGAAAACCAAGGGTTGTGCAGGGCAAAATTGTGTGATTATTTTTGAGGTCATTGTATCATTCCTCCATGCGTTTCCTGCTTTGCTGCTGCTGCTGGTGCTATTTTGCCTGCTGCTTGGTGGTGGTGGTGGTGGTGGTGGTGGTGTTGCTGCTGCTGCTGCTGCTGCTGCTTGGTGGTGGTGGTGGTGGTGGTGGTGGTGGTGTGAAAGTTCGACACCTCGTTCGAAGCCGTCCTTTCAGTCAAACACAGTTGTTCTCATGTTTCCATACACGCACAAATCAAGAAGAGTACTGCAGTATGCATGGAAGCCTTTTCGTAGAAGCTTGCAGTTGACATGAACTGTTTTTGAGCTTCGTTCAAATGCCTGTCGCGCCCAGAGCGACATCAACCCGGGTGGTGCGCTTACGCATTGTCCGGGTGCATTCGGGTGATGCGCTTACGCATTGTCCGGGTGCATTCGATGCATGTCGCGTCCAGAGCGACAAATCGAGAAGTGTACCTCTCGCCACTGACTGTGGCTCAAGGTGTGACGCAAAAGGTGCGTTGCACGCTGGGACGGGCGTGGGCGATTCGGCTGATCGCGGCCGAGGGATTCCGTTCCATCGAACACGTTCGAAAAGGTTTCAACTGTTTTTTTTGGGTTCTCACGAGTTTCCAACTTGAAGTTAACCTTCATATGGTAGCGGAGCTCCTGCGGGAGCTGTAGGTTCCAATTCACTTAGGATAGGTCACGACTTTTCATCCATAGAGTTTGAGCCATGGCCGATCGTGATGGAACTGCACCTCAAAGAGAACGATCCAGAGGAAGATCTGAAACTCGGAGCCGAAGGAGTCCGGAAGCGCAGGGGGTAGACACGTCAAGAATAGAGAGATTGGAAACACAAGTTGCGCGCCTTTCAGATTCGTTGATATCTCTTGGACCAGCTTTGCAACAGGTGGTTCGACTGAGCACAAACCCAAACTTTGTTGCGCAAAGTGTTGCTGCCCCGACTGTTCTTCCGGGTTCTCAGATGCCAATCCCACCATCACAGGTGCCACAAAATCCTGCACCTGGTTTAGCCCAGCCTGATCCGACAGCCCGACCATCCGATCTAGGTAATCCGACTGATGTCAATGCAGACCCACTGCAGACATCCGATCCTTGGCGTAACTATACTTCGCCATCTCGAGAGGCTGGCATTCCTGAACGACCATTCCCTACGAGCCTGCCAGCCTCACCGGATCGTCAATTCCCGCCGTTCGGAGCTTCTCAGTTGAACTCGAGTGGATTGATTCCCCCACCACCAGGGATGCCACCCCTGCAATGCACAGGAGGTCCACGATCCATTCCGATTGATACTCCTCCGGGATCAATGCATGAGAATGGAGGGAGATGAAAACCCCTTCAAGAGGAGCGAGCGGTGGATGCCAAACATGCCCACTCCAGCATACGATGAATGGAAATCACGTCCTCAAGAGATCACCAAGTTTTTGTCTTGGGTAACTGATCTAGCTAGTTGGACTGGATTAGGATCCAACGCCTACCCTGGAGAGATTATGGGTTGTATCAAAGAGACTGAGCCTTTAGGTTGGCATCGTTTGCAACCCAGCCAGATTACCAGGTCAGTCAGAGTTCTCTCCATCTTGAAGACATGCTTCATGAACCATGCCCGAGCAAGCCTGGTTATTCGCAACTATGAGGAAGCTAAGGGATTTCATCGATGCTGTGGATTCGAGTGTCTTCGATTGATTGCAAGAGAGTTTTCAATGAAAACCCACACAGAATTGTTGTTTTCAGGAATCAACTTGCCAATTGCACCGTTACCGGTCAAACGATTCCGGAGATCGTTCGAAAGATTCAGTCCGAACTGTTTCAATTCGAAAGAGTGTCTCAATTGGTCGATCCCAGTGTCAACATCAAAGGTCTTGAATTTGCTGAAGCCGACAAGACTTTGATCCTTTTGAGAGCCCTGCCCCAACAATGTCGTCAGTGGATTGTCCTGAACAATGCCGATGAATCCTTTGTCTCATATGTTGAAAGTGCCCTCACATATGAAGCCCAGCAACGAATTTGGCTTGATCTCAATGGCAAACCCATTGCCAGCCTGGGAGGTTTCGATCCAAAAGGCAAAGGCAAGCAGTCCAAAGGTGGAATAGGTAAGAATGACAATCAGGACAAAGAGGGCAAGGGAAAACATTTGGGTAAAGGTAAAGGCGCTGGATCCGGGTCAGAG